CATGTTATTTACTTTACTAAACCTGAATAATGTGCAGCTTATAATGAAGAAATTTTTAGGATCATTACATGAGAAAATACCTCAGTGCTAAGGTGACACGTCGTGATCCCTGTGTTGTCTTGTACTGACATGGACAATGAAACATTCCATGCCAAACCATGATCATATTTACTTATCTTAAACGTCAGTTTGGTAATGTGTGGTAATTCGTCTTTGCAATGTTATAATTTTGGGCCTCCCTTGCATCTGATAAGGACTCAATCGAGTACTGTATGTGAAGTTTAATTTATCTAAACAAGATATTATTACGGCAAAAGAAATAAACACACTTCATACTTCTAATATATATTAAAAAAATACCTAAAAATAAGATGTGTAACGCAGATAAATGTATGATTAACGATGAAATAAAATGTCTATTTAAATTATGTTTTGTCTTTATCATCTTCGTTTTTAATATTATATTTTTATACTTATGTGTATTTTTCACATGCATGAATACAGTTCAGAGAATATGCACGCAAAAAACATGCAGCTTTCTATGAATACTAATACACTCGATGTTTTCACTACAGCTGAGAAAGTATTTAAGTTTTTTTTAATTCAACTGATACATTGAGATTTTAGGTATAGTACCTCCCTCTCTTTAAGTGTTACCGTAATAATCGTCTTCAGAACTCAAGCTAATCCCGGGCATTACGAACCTTGAGTGTGGAGACAGATAAAGCATCTGAATTTGCACTCCCTCGATAAACGTAGAGTGAGGGATAATATGACTGAGGGGTACAAATGGAAGTCAGGATTAAACAAAAGTAATAAAGCAAATGTACTTAAGTATCTAACATGGAGCAAACATGTAGGAATGATTTAAAAATAGACAAATTTAGATTTAGGCTTGAAATAGGTAAACACTGGTTTGGAAATAGAGTAGTTACCGAACATCATCATTAACTCGAACATGCTGAGGTTGGGTAGATATATGAACGATATAGGTTGGGTGTAAACGGGGCTCTCTAGTATGGGCCAATAGGCCCGCTGCAGTTTCCTTCATTCTTATGTTCCTAAAATTCCAATTTCTCCCTGGTTTACGGATGAGCAATAGGCAGCCATTTATGTAATTCGTATCGTTTAATTCATTCCCAGATGAAACACTACTGTCATCTTTATGATCGGTGTGGTGTTGGGACACTTAATCTCTTGATCCGATGTAGTAAGTATCCACAAGACCAGTAACAATAATAAGAAAACTGACAGCAGTCATATTCGCAAGGTTCTATCATCACTCTCCCTGCTGTATAGATAATTCCACAGTCATTCTTCTGACGAGTTATACTCAATACTACTGTCACCACACACTAATTTTCGACGTATGGGTGCACCTGTAAGGCCCTATACTTGCGTCATGCTGAACCTCTGTCTGCCAAAACGTTAGTGATGATCGGGAAAACCACTGGTTGAATCTCCCTGCACCATTTTTTTGTATCATTTAATTATCTTTCACCAGTTCATAATTCTGATGTTCAAATATCAATAGTCCCCGGCAAGAAGACGAAGAGTTTTGACACCAACATCTGTCTGATATATCCCTGTAATAAACACTCTTTAAATACATAATATATTTGTTCCATTCCTCGGTAAAAGCTATTGTATTCTAAGACCGTCAGTGCATTAGAATATATGCTGATGAAGCTAAGTTATCTGTATAAATGTGGGTCTGCCTGTTTCGTTGTTATCTGACATTTCCATAACGGAGACACATTATAAATAATTCACTAGAAAGCTCCTGCAATAGGAAAGGTCTTAGGGACAAAGTAAATAGGATAAAACTTCAGAGAGTCGTGGCGGCGTAGACGAAAAATGAAGAGAAGAGGTATAGACGGGAGTACAAGTACAGTACCTGCTAATTAATGATGCTAATTTTTCTACATTTTCTCTACAGATAACAACACTAATAACTACACTAGTCTCTTAAATACGTATTATTCTTCACCACGCATGTATGAATAGATATAAATTCATTTATCTTCTTAGCATCGTTGGCTATGATATTTCTCTCATACCTAAAGCTTAATTACACGTGAAGGAGTGACTTGATTCAACCTTCACCAGGCATAACATAACAGCTGCTGATTTGGCATTGCTTCATGACTTGTATAAAAAGGAATATGTGAAGAATGATATGTCAGACGTTTACTTAACCAATACGACAGTATAGATGATTGAAAACATGATAAATACTAGTTTCTATTCAGATGTGGTCGAATAAAAATAATCTATTGTGTTAGAAATGAGTTCCTTAAGAAGTGAGTTTTGAGTAATAACAATGAAAATAATAATAATAATAATAATAATAATAAAAATAATAATAATAATAATAATAATAATAATAATAATAATAATAATAATAATAATAATAATAATAATAATAATAATAATAATAATAATAATAATAATAATAATAATAATAATAATAATAATAGTAATAATAATAATATTAAAAATAACATTGAGAAATACATGACATAACAGTTATAAACAAACACACTAATTAGATAACAAGATAATAAACATATACCTTTAAGTCTTTTTCTCTCCTTGTCATACATATTTCCAATCCATCAACAACATAACTAGTGATAACTGATAAACTTATTTATTTGATTATCATGACAGATGTGTGTGTGTAATAATAATAATAATAATCATAATAATTAACGGTTTATTGAAAGAGCTTGGCAGCCAGAAGGCTGAAAATATACAGCTACATATATGGGGAATGGGTTTCGAATTACAAATAATATACAAGTAACATAAGTGATACAAATAAGATATATAATAACTAGATGGGGAAAAGCTCAAACTACAGTGCTTTTCAACATAGTGACAGTGCAAGAAGTAGTATTTACTGGGAGTGAATACACTGGTTTATTACAAGTTATTGATAATTTTTACAATGGTTGGGACTGGGCTTGTCTTATAGCGGTCAGTTCGTGCACGTATGGGCTGGATGCGGTTGTGGTGTCGAACAGCAATTCTCGGGCTGGGGATCTCAGGTGGTAGTAGGAGCCGGTGTCGAGGAAGGTGTAGAAGCTTCTTACCAAATTTGCAGATGAGGTCGTGGTGATGGTCAGTGAGAGTCGAAAGGGTCAGTGTGTTAAGCGCTTCTTGATATGTGGAGTAGGAAGGAGAGAGAATAATCTTGCATGCCCTCTTTTGCACTTTTTCTAGGTGTTTACGTTGTGTGGCATTTAGGGAGGAAGACCAGGTGGGGGAGGCATGGGTGAGCTTGGGAAGTATGAATGCTGTGTAAACACTGAGGAGCTCGGGTGCAGGAACTCCGAGGGACTTGAGTCGGCGGAGGAGGTGGAGACGGAAACTGGAGGATTTGACAACTTCACTGACGTGTGGTTTCCAATTTAGTTTGTTGTCTATGGTGACGCCGAGGAGCTTCGTAGAATCTACAACCTGGAGTGTGTTCGGACCTAAAGTAATGGAAGGAGGTGGGACAATGTCGGAGGAGAGGTTGATGTGCATAACCATGGTCTTGGTATGGTTGTGTGTGTGTGTGTGTGTGTGTGTATAACATCGACATGACAGCCATTAGTGAGTCCCGGCTCCCAGACAAGGGTCAACTCAAGGAAAGGGGGTCTGGCTATACCTTCTTCTGGAAGGGTAAGCCTGCTGCGGAGAGAAACAGCATTTATGTAGTTGGCTTTACCATCCGCCAACGCATCCTACACAGTCTAACTGAAATGCCTATGGGGATCAACAAGATCCTCATGACGCTACGTGTCCCACTGAATCACTTACGTCATGCCTTTTTCATCAGTGCATCCAGTGTTGGGGCAACACTGGATGCAGAGGATGACATCAAGGAGCCCTCTTACGCCGACCTCGACAGAGTGCAAACCTCTATCCCCAGAGAAAATAAGGTTGTGCTCCTTGGTGACTTCAATGCCAGAGTTGGAAGAGATGCTGACATTTCGCAGGGAACCCTGGGGAGGAATGGACTAGGCAAGTATAATCCCAACGACCTGCTCCTCCTCCGAATGTGTGCTGCACACAACCTCGCTATCTCCAATACCTTGTTCAGGCAGACCGACCAGTTCACGGGTTCGTGGCAACACCCACGATCCAAACACTGGCATCTCATTGACTACATCATTGTCAGACAAAAAGATCACAGAGATGTTCTCATCACCCGTTCCATGCGTGGCTGAAACCACTGCGACACTGATCATCAGCTCGTAAGAGCCAAGCTCTCACTTCACGTCGCCCCAAAACGGTGAAGGCAGCAAGCCTTCAGAAGAGGATTTATCATAAGCGTCTGGAGGATCCAGCGGTAGCACATGCTTTCAGAGAGCAGGTCGAAAATGGGCTGATAAACAACCCGGCAACAAACAACCCAAATCCCAGTCCCGAATGGGATATTCTCGACACTATCATGACAAAAACCTGCAGAGACTCTCGGCCAGATCGAAAGAATACACCAGGACTAGGTTGATAAAAATGACCCAGCAATCAATGTAATCGTCGATGATGAACGTGTTGCTTTAACTGACTGGCAGAACAACCCAGTCTAGGACCAACGCTGAAACCTTCCGCAAGAAGAAAGCGGCGGCCCAGCGCCAACTTCTCAATCTAACAAACGACTGGTTTAAAAATAAAGCATGTGAAACACCAAAATGTGTAGATCAGCACAAGATGTGCGAATTTTACAATTCCACTAAAACATTTTATGGGCCAATAACTCACGGTGCAAACCCCCTCTCTGCTCATCCGACTAACTCCATAATTAAAGACGATGAATGGCTCCTTCAGCGTTGGAAAGAGCACTATCATTCACTGTTCAACCGAATACCGATGTGAATGTCTTGACTACCCAGCAGGTCCTTCGGCATCCAGAGCTAACCCACCTCAGCTATCCTTCATCCCTGGATGAGGTAGCTACTACCATCAAAAAGATGAAAAATAACGAAACCTCAGGGCCTAATGGAATC